CACTTCCAGCTCGTCACCGAGGGAGGTGCCTTTACTGTCCCGTCACACTCGATACGCCGAGCCCCGAGTCAGGCCCAAATTCCTGCTCCTCCTCACAGCAGGGAATTGCACTAGAGAGCTCTGACCAGATGGGATCTGCTGCTCCCATCCACCACGCCAGACCTGGGCACAGATGCCCAAGTGCTGGCTGTCCAAAGTACCCTGAGAGCAGGAGGAACAGAGCCTGCTGCTGCTCAGCCCGTGTCACTCCTGCCAGTGGCCTCGTCAGGGCACCGAGGGTGGGGAAAAGCAACAGTGGCAGTGGCAGGATACTGTGCTCAGCACATCAAGCACCTTCCCAACACAAATCACTTCTCCTTGTTGAGCAGTCTCTCTGAAATACACCAGCAGAACCACACCTGCTAGATGGGCAGAAGGTGCAGCTTTTCCTACAGCCCTGGAGCTGATTTTTTTTCTGTGGTACCTCTGTTCTTTTGAGCCCCTTGTAAGAAACTTGGTCTTTCTGTACATCAGCCAACAACAGAAAAGTCTCTTATGGAAATTAAATTCCAAATCGACTCCTCCAATCTTATCCTGCTGGCAGCAGAAGTAAGACTTTTGGCACCACAACTTTTCAAGTGTTATTTTTCTTCCAAGCCACTGATGGCCATACAGCTGTGAATCACCCTGCAGAGTTAAGAACCACAGAGGCATTCAGAGGCACATTGCCTTTGGTTTCTTTACCTCTAGAACAGCTAATATTGATCAAAAGGCTGTTATACACCATTACTTATGGCATTATAAGAAGCTGCAACTCCAGCTGTCACATAATTAAATTCAAGAAAAATTAAATTTGGGGTTGATTTAGATCCTAAAGACTAGATGGAAATATTCTCTGAGAAAGCAAATATACAGAAAATTCACTTAAGGCTTTGAACCTTAGGAAGACTTAAAAATGGTTCTGAATGATTTGGAAGACCAGGCAAGAGCTTCAAATGGAAGTGAAGCTCTGTGATGAGGGACCACCCTGGAAAACACATCCCAGCTGACCAGGAACAGGCCTGACCAGAGCAGAGCTGCTGGGTAGTGAGTGGTGGCACCAGCACATCCACCACAGCATCAGCATGAACCAGCTCTGGGCCATGCACAGCCAGGATCTGGCCCAGGCACCAATCCTGTGCTGCAAGCTCCTGCCTCTGGTCCAGAGAACGAGTTCTGCTGAGGTTCAGAGAGCTGCCCCTCAAGCCACACAATGCCTTCAACAGCTTTGTTTTTCTTGGATCTTGCTGTCTACTGAAGAGGGAGAACTGGGAGAAACTGGGAGCAAAGGTGCCTTGTCTCAACAGACCAAGTCCCTCTGGGATGAGAGCAGCCCTCTCTTCTGAAGCACAACGTTGTCTCACCCCCCTCCAATCCTGAGAGAAAGCACCATGTGCTGAGATGGGCAGTGAGGAAAGGGCAAGAACCAGCCTTCAGAGGCAGGCTGGCCAAGCATCCAGACCTGACCCCTGGGATTGTTGAAGGAGATTACAGAGAGGAAGATTTAAAACTCTAATATGTGAGCTCGACAAATCTGGCAGCTGCATCACGTAATCCCCTTTCTGAAAAATCTTAATACATTTTTTGCTGGCCCAACCCCCACACCTCAGGAACGTTCTGAATCCCAGAAAATTGTTTTGTTTTCACTTTGTAATCAAGAGAAAGAGCCTCTTTGTGTGCTAACAGTGGCTTTGTGACAATAAATTACATTCTGCTGTTCTTTAATGGCCAAATAAGTATGTGCTGCCCTCCGCAGTATTTACCAGGCAGCAGAAATGGATTTATGTGTAGAAAATTGCTAGACAGCAAAGTAATCCTGCACAGCAATATGCCCAACAGATGCAACAGCAACCTTCCTTCGCATGTTCTCTCTCAAATGACCCTGTGTAGATGCTGGCAATAAAGAACAGCCCCCAGAAGTTATACTATATCTAGCTTAGGTTTCTGGTTCACTTGCTTCCTCCCTCACACGCCTCGTGACGGTGACTTCAGCGCAGACACCTTCTTGTTTACTCCCAAACCACACTGACAGGCTGCCCAGGAAAGCTTCACATTTCTTCTTGCCTTCTCTCCACTAAGTTTAGAGCAGGAGATAATTACTGGAGCAAAACTCAAACTAAAAGAGCTTTACCCTCTGAACTCTTGAAATACCAGAGGAAGAATTTACATAGAAAAACAAACTCTGTTTAGGAGAAAACAGCCCAAACAGCAGAATCCCTCCTACCTGACGCTCATGATGTTGCCCTCGGGATGCTTCTGCAGGTAGGCTTTCACCACCCAGGCTGTGTGCTCCCGGTAGGTCATGACACGGCTGAGGGACAAGCAGAGAAAGGTTTGGAAGGGGAGGAGGAGGAGGAGGGGGGCAGGTGAGGGCCCAGCAGGGCTGGGGGCTGGGTGGTTACCATTCACTCAGGGCCATCCTCCTGTCGAAGAGCCGGACGGAGCCGTCGCCCAGCCCCGCCACGATCAGCGAGCGGTGGGAGTCGCAGGAGAGGCTGGTCACGCAGCTGTCTGCCCCCGTGGGGATGTCCTGAGGAGAACACACACCCCCAGCCTCAGAACACCCCCTGCCTT